TTTCTGGAGGAAATGTGTATAAACACTCGAATAATTGGGGAGGTGGGTTGAGGCTGAGTCCCTGCGGGTGGTAGTGGGTTCTGGAGCCAGCTGACCACACCCCTTCTCTCCCTTGTGTTAGAAATAAGACGCTTGGAACCCAGGGGTCCCTGTGCATGCAGAGCCCCCGAATCCAGGGTCCCCGGTGCACGCAGAGCACCCCTAATCCAGGGGTCCGGTCCTCTCTCTCTAATGGTCAATAAAAACATATTATTCAGACTCTTGGCTCAGAAGCTGTTCAATTCCGATCAAGGGCGCATGCCCAGTTGGGGCTCCACCCATATATAATTAAATCATATTTAATTATATATGATTAAATATATCATAAATAAATAAATGCAGGTAAGAGGAACTGAGCAAGTGCCAGTAGATGTCCAACTGTCCCCTTTCCCATCCAGACCCCCCCCCCCCGCTTCAGCCCTCCTTCCCTCGCACGTCGGTGCCGGCTGAGGTCCCGTTTCTGGATGAAATGTGTTTAAACACTCGAATAATTGGGGAGGTGGTTGAGGCTGAGTCCTTGCGGGTGGTAGTGGGTTCTGGAGCCAGCTGACCACACCCCTTCTCTCCCTTGTGTTAGAAATAAGACGCTTGGAACCCAGGGGTCCCTGTGCATGCAGAGCCCCCGAATCCAGGGTCCCCGGTGCACGCAGAGCACCCCTAATCCAGGGGTCCGGGTGCATGCAGAACACCCCGAATCCAGGGGCCCCGGTGCCAGCAGAGCCGCAGGGCCAGGCCACGGGCATAGCTTCCCTTCGCAGGAGGCGCAGGGTTTTGGAGCATCTGCCCAGAGCGGATCCCTCCGGTTAATCCTGACGCACGTGACCCGTCCCTCACTCCTGATTGGAGCTCAGGCCACAGTCTTTCCCGATTGGCTAATTCAAAGGGAGGGGCTGGCCTTTGTGGTTTCCAGATGGGGCCCCAGGGAGCTGCAGGTCATGCGGGTGGAAATGGCAGCTGTTGGCCAGGAAAGATGACTGTTTATTCTCACACTCGCAGCGGCCTCCCTGGGCCCCGCGGAGACGGTGGAGGTGGAGGAGGGCCAGCCAGTGACCCTGAGCTGCGTGGCGCCCCCCGCAGAGCGAGGCCCCCTGCAGTGGCTGGCGCCCTCGGGGTTTACCATCTTCTTAAACCAGCATCGCGGTGAGTGGAAGAACATGGATGGCCCCCTGCTCCCCCAGGGGTCTTGGACAGACACAGCGCCGGAAGCCCAGGGCGGAGGGGGGGATCACAGAGGGCGTAGCCCCCCGGCCGTTCCACACGTGGCCGCCGGGGCCTCTGCACGGGAACCTCCCATCCCTCAGCCTGGCCTGCGGGGATTGGCCGAAACCTGCACCAGGCCTCCGACATCCCTTGAGGGGTCCCAGAGGAGAGGGCTGAAGCCAGACCGAGGAACCCCACCATGCACACACTGGGCCTTTAGTATGCATATGAGATCTTTGGTTAATCTCTTCCTGCCCTTGCCCCCGCTTCCCTCTGAGATTCATCAGTCTGTTCCATGTTTCCATGCCTGTGCATTGAGAGTCTGTCCCCTGGTGGTCAGTGTGCACTGTAGCTGCCGGTTGAGTGGTCTCCTGTGCATTGAGAGTCTGTCCCCTGGTGGTCATGTGCACTGTAGCTGCCGGTTGAGTGGTTGAAGGGTCGGATACTTAGCATATTAGCCTTTTATACATATAGATTATTGACATACGGGTTTCAGGTGTACAACATAATGATTGACATGAGTATATATTCAGTACGTCTGATTAGTATGCATCCCCTCACATAGTTACATTGTTGTTGCCTGCAGGATTCTTAAACATCTATTTCATTCATCTCTGAGAGCAGGATTCTAACCCTCCTCTTCATACTGAGGTCATTATATATTCCCACTCAACATTTCCAAGGCCACACACTTGGAACGTCTTCAAAACAGCAAACTTCATTCTGCCTTTGTAAAGCAGAGCCTCTGACAATGTAACAGGCTCTGAAACCATGACGCATTGATATGGTAGGTGCAGAATAACTGAGTGTACTTATTTCAAGCTAAATGAACCATGAAGGCTAGATCCCAATACTATTGTTAAAAGTTCTGACCAAGAAACTTTATGTAGAGACTAGAGGCCCAGGGCACAGATTCGTGCACAGGTGGGCGCTGATGGGGCTTGTCTGGCGAGGGGTAGGGAACTCAGGAGGTTGGCGGGCTGGAACCACCCTCAATCAGGGGGGGCCAATGGGGCCAGCCAGGGGGAGGGGCTGCGGGCAATTGGGGCTGCAGCGTGCGTTATAGTGACTGGTCGTTTTGGTCATTGCGGTCATCCCTTCATTCCAGTCGCTTGGCTTTTATATATATAGACAATGCTGTTACATAATGCCTTCGGATGTTTTGTTTTGGGCTTTTTAAGGTGATGGCATGACCAGATGTCTCCCTAGGAGGCCTGGATCTAGCTGGGTGGTTCCCCTTACCCTGTACATTGTTGCTGTAAATGGGGAAAGGGTCAGGGGGATGCGGGCATGTAGTATACAGAGAGGGTGGGATCAGGGGTCAGGGGTCAGGGATGCATTTAAACTCCGTACAGTGTACAGAACAGCCCCCACGACAAGGAATCAGGGACTCAAAAGTCGATAGTGCTGAGATGAATTCCTGCTTCTAGTTCATCTGACATCGGAGGGACACAGTGCGGTTCTGGGTGAGAAATAGCTTTCCTTGCTCAGCCATTCTTGGTTTAACAGGTCTAGGCTTATTCATATTATAAATCTCAACAGAAAAGAAAAAGAAAGGGAGGGAGGGAGGGAATGAGTGAGGGGGAGGGAGGGAGGGAGGAAGAGAGGACTGGTTAGCTGAGGGCCTCAGACTGCAATGGGCCTCCCCATAGAACCGAGAGGAACAAACAGCTGGAAGGACTAAGTCATAATTTGGGGGCAACTTCAAATAATAATGAACTTTTAAAAATAAGAAGCACCCAGCTGGAACAATGAATACCAATGCATTTATTTTACATTCTTCACACTCATTCTGTCAAGACAACATCAAATGAATCAGATTTCAAAAGGTAAATCATAGTGGGGCATTTTTTTTTAAGCAAACACATCCTTTAAAAAAACAAAAACACACAAGTTTTTTTTATTTTTATTTAGAGAGAGAGAGAGAGAGAGAGAGAGAGAGAGAGAGAGAGAGAGAGAGAGACATGGATGTGAGAGTGCCTCCTGCATGCTCCCGTGGGACTGGGCTGAAACCCGGCATGTGCCCCAACCGGGAATCCAACCAGCAACCTTTGGGTTCACGGGACAATGCCCAACCAACCGAGTCACACCAGCCAGGGCTAGTGGGGCGTTTTTCACAATGTAATGTCTAAAATTCTGTAAAATTCTCCTGCCACCCGTACCATCCACCAGCACAGTGTTCTTAATTTCCTACAAAGAGAAATAAAGCAAATGCTTATTTCACAGATACCAGGATCAACATATTTTATTTCCTATTCTCATTTCAAGCTAAGGAGAGGCATCCAGCTGGTAACACTAGTATTTGTAAGTCAACTCAATCCAAGATGTGATATTTGTTCCTGTAAAGTGTGCAAATCAAGAGCTATTCCTGCGAATAATCCATCCACCAAGAATCTATATTCATCTGGTACTTTTTCTCATAACATGCTCTCCTCCTCTCCCCCCATACAGCTTTAAAAAATACCAAATACCAGCTTCTTCATCACTCTTCCAATGAGCTCTCCATCCGCGTGGCCAATGTGACCCCGCACGATGAAGGCGTGTACACGTGTTTACATTACAGCCGCTCCGTGAGGAAAACAAAGGCGGTGAAAGTGGTGGTGCTGGGTGAGTGCCTCACAGCAAGGTGCCAGGAGGGAGAGGGGTGCACAGGAACATTACGTGTCATTTCCAATCTTAACATTTTAGTTTTAAAAGGTTCCCTCCAGCTATGACCTGGGCACCTCTGCCATCTTTTGTTGGAAGGAAACAGAAGGGAACACTTTGAGTTGCAAGCCCTTAGATCAGCGGTTCTCAACCTGTGGGTCGCAACCCCTTTGGTGGTTGAACGACCCTTTCACAGCGGTCACCTAAAACCCATCTTGCATATCAGATATTTACATTACGATTCATAACAGTAGCAACATGACAGTTATGAAGTAGCAACAAAAATAATTTAATGGCTAGGTCATAACATGAGGAACTGTATTTAAAGGGCCAGAAGGTTGAGAACCACTGCCTTAGATTAAAATGTGCATTCATGAAAGTTGTCTTTGGACTCAACTAAGTTTTCTCTCCCGGGAACTAAAAAAGAGAATTAATATTTGATGACCTGTGACTAGGCTCCAGGGGACCAGAGGTGGACTGGGCACCACCTCTGCTCACAAGGCCCTCGCACACTCGTTCCGGAGGGCAAAGCGTGTGTAAAGAAAGTAGAGCATTATGACAGCAATGAAGTCAGATGTGACTGCCCTGGAAAATCAGCTCACATCCTCTGCCCAAACCGTTTCCTCTCTCTTGCAGGGGGTGGGGGTGGGGTGGCGGGACTGGAGGAGGAGTGACAGCCTCCTGACCCAGCAGACCTGGCTCAGCTCTGGGTGTCACTTTTGTCAGGCTCATGTCCACTGTCTTTACCTGCCACCTTTCTCTGTGCAGAACAGCTGAATCAACAACGCAATCCCCCATGTCCTACCAATGAACTCACGCTTCTCTTACTGAGTTAGTATAAGCGGTGCCGTCCGTAAAGTAATGGCATGGTGACAAAGTGTCAGGAAAAGGGTGGCTCCTGGGGAAGACCCATGTGCTCAGCCCAGGGCCTTCTGTCCCCCTCGCTGGCCACCGCACAGCACTCCGCTTGGCTGTGTGTGTGTCCTCCTGGCAATCATAGCAGCCGTGAACACCTCCATCATTGCACTGTCACACATGAGCCTTTACCCCACGTGATCTTTTCATGAACAGTTTGGGGTGGAGTCTGTCACTAAACTACTAGTTCGGCATCTAACACATTGAACCACACTTGGCGCTGGCTTCCCAACGCCTGGATGGCAGGTGGATGAGTAAATGAATGTGAAGAGCACAGGTCTGGACCAACGTGTGAAGTAGAATGGTTTGAAAGCGAGAGTCTAACTACAAAGTATGTCCAAGGCAGGAACAGGAAGAGATCCAGGAGCCCTTTGTAAGACACATGGGCTTTGATGTTGGAAGAAAGAAGTAACTTGCAGTGAAGTGAGTCATAGACTCAGGAAGTTTAGAGTTTAAACAGCCAACTTATAACCCAGTTTCTTCATGTCACAAACCAGGAAATTGATAAACCAAAACATCGGACGACTAACCCAAGTTCTTACAACTAGTTGGTGACAAAGGTGGAGCTAGGATTCAGGACTCTATTCTTCACCTAGTGCTCAACCAATCAACACAGTCCGATATGAAAGGTGAAGCATTACTTTTGTAAGCGTCAGTTTGGGGATTCCTAGGGACTAATCACATGCTGGGTAGCAACCATCTGACTCTCGCCGAGTAGCTGCGCAGGCACAGCAAACTCCTAACTCTGTTCTGGGAGCGGTCAGGGGGAGATACGCCATGACTCAGCCCAGGCCCACAGTGACCCCTGCGTGAGCAGGCCCCGGGCTTCCTGAGATACGCAGACCAGCTAACTCAGCACAGAAAATTCGTTTTTTTTTTCCTAGCAACTCCCCTTAAGTCAACCCTGGAAGCCTCCATCATCAGAACGCAAAACAGGGAAGAGCAGGTGGCACTGACGTGCTCCACGGTGAGGAGCAGGCCCCCCCCACAGATAACCTGGCAGCTGGGGAACCACACGGAGCTCCCAGGTGAGTGCAGACCCTTGGCTCCCCTCCGGGTTTACCTCCTAAATTTCCGAACAATTCTGTGAATGGTTTGGCGCCCCCTGGTGGCAGGAGGTGTCAGAAAACACCATTCAATAATTTTCTGTTCCTTATAACCAATCGCTGTTACGTTTTAATCTTGGAAGGCTAATCACAAATAACATTATAACATGTTTTGTGCAGAGCAAGGTAAAATCTAAAATGTGATGTTTATAATAGCATCTTAAAATTTGACAACATTTTATAAAATAAAAGACAAAATGGAGCTGTTACTGTGAGCATAAGCTTCTTACTAGGCATAACATTGAGAGCACATTTAACATGCGACATGGCCTTTCTTATACGGGGCAGAACAGTGTCATACCCTCGATGACAGTAATTATGTAACAGAATCTAAGCCTCAAGCTGCTGATGGAAGTGGGTGACTGTCTCGCATAGAAACGGTTTGAGCTTGTTTCTATTTCAGCAGGGTTTCACGTGGTTTGACATCATCTTGGTTCTTAGAGCTGAAGGACCCTTTCTGGCGGGGAAACCGAGGCCAGTGAGCTCCGCGCAGCTGGCCCAGCTGCTCCAGCGCCGCTTGTTTATTCAGTGGAAGGCTCGCGCCTCCGGGTCCTGCAGGAGGCCAGCTGTCCTCGCCCAGCAGGCACGCGGCGGGAGCTGTCAGGAGGGGAGGGTTGATAGGAGCCTCTCCCCTGTGGTCACCGCTGCCCTCTGTGGAGAGGCCAAGCACACGCAGGCAGCGGTCTGTCAGAGTGAGGGTAGGAGGCTCACAGGCTGGCAAGAGGGCCAGGCTGGTTTCCGAGAGCCACGCCACCAGGAACCGGCGGCAGCCGCGGCCTGGCCTCACGCAGCGCCTGTTGCCCGCAGGGGACACCTCTCACGCCTTTGACAGCGACTTCAGGGCCTGGAACAGCAGCAGCGCGCTCAGGGTCCCCGCGCGCCCGGGCTCCGCGGTGGACTGCGTGGTGCGCCACAGGGGCCTCCGCGGAGGGCGGCTGGTGGTCTCCTTCCGGTTTGAAGATTTGGGTAAGGACTGATGACGTCTGTCATCATTTTAACTTTCCTCAGTGTTATACTACCAAACCCAATGGGAGGAAGCTCCCCTTAGCAAGTTCCCTTAATGATGGAAGCTTCTCCAGCTGGGCAGCCCGTGGCAGCTTTTCCCACGCTCCTCGCCCCCACCCCGCCCCGCTGCCTGGGAGCCGCGTCCGCGTCTCACGCTCTCAGTGTCAGCTGGCTTTCTGATTGTGACGTCACATGTGCACAGTGTCAGCTGGCTTTCTGATCGTGACGTCACATGCTCACGCGTCACGCCTGCTTTCTGATTGTGATGTCACACTCTCACAGTGCCATGCTGGCTTTCTTATTGTGACGTCACATGCGCACAGTGCCACGCTGGCTTCCTGATCCTGACGGCCAGGTCAGGGACGTGCCTCATTGCAGCGCAGTCATGTTTCGGGGAGACCAGATGAGCCGCACCGCGCCTTTATATTTGACCCCAAAGGAGGTCATACGAACTGAAATCCATCTAGCGTGTCGGTATCATTTGATGTGAACACGAGGCGCTCACTCGGGGACATTGTCATGATCAGTCTGTAGATGTTAAGCTGTTTTTGGAAGATTTTAGTTTAATCGTTGATATTCTGAGCAAACAAGACAACAGTAAAAATCAACAAAACATCAAGTATTCAAGGCGAAGAGGAGTGGCTTCCATTTTCAGAATCTCTAGTCTCCGGCTCTTTTACGCGAGAGAATCTTTTGAGCAAGAAGCTCCGAGTCCCGCGTGGTCCCAGCGCACACCGCGCGCCAGGCCTCTCTCAGGGGCAGCGCCTGGGAACCGCTCC